ACAATGAAATCAAATGATGTGTGGTTTTTCTTTTTTTGTTTTTGGTGCCAGTACTGGGGCTTGAACTCAAGGCTCTTGCAGCTCTTGCTTGAGCTGGGCTTTCTCTCTCACAACTAGTTCTCTTCCACTTGAGCCAAACTTCCACTTCCAACTTCTTGCTGGTTAATTGGAGGTAACCATCTCTCAGAGTCTTCTGTCTGGACTGGCTTAAAACTTTGATCTAAACCTTCTGAGTTGCTGAGATTGCAGGTGTGAGCCACAAGTGCTTGGCCATTTTTCACTTTTAGAAACCTAATCAATATTTCAGGCATATGCCATTCTAGTATCTTTCTTATCAACTACTCCTTTCTATTTTTTTCCCCCATTAATCTCATGACTCTTTTCATTAGGGTAAAAGTTGGCAAATTTCTATAAAACTAGAGTAAATATTTTAGGTTTTTCTCACAACCACAGTTTTTCTGTTTTGGGTGAAGGCAGCTATAGACAACACATAGTACCTGAACATTTGTAGTCCCCTAAATTTGTATTTAATATCATTTTTATGTATCATGGACATTAGGTTTTATTTTTTCAAATGTTATGAAATGTCAAAATCACTCTTAACGTGTGGTCTGAATAAAAATAGGCATTAAGACAGCTTTAGGCCATGGACCATAGTATGACAACTCCTGGTGGAAATGTGATTTTGTCAGTCATTAAGCTTCACTCAATCAAAGACCAAAGGAAAACTTTCCAAAGATGTTTCTCCCCATGTTACCCATCCAAAGCTTTAGAGATCCCTCAGTATGTTCAAAATTCTCCATTGGTTGTCCTATATGAGCTACAATTTTACCGGGACTTTTCTATGTTTCATCAAGAAATGTGTGTGTGTGTGTGTGTGTGTGTGTATAGTGTGTAGGATTTAGAACTGGAAACCTGAATGAAAGAAGCCCGAGTTCTTTTCCAGACATATTTATTCTCCGGAAAGTCAGAATTGCAAGGAGTTGTCACCAAACAGTTATGTTAAAAGTTATAGTAAAAGAACATGGAAGGGGAAATTATTATGCTTGTATCTCCCAGAACAGTGTTGTTTTCTGAAAATTAAACAAATATGTTCTTTTTAATGCAGTTAACAAGCAAGTGAGAGGAGGGGAATCTAGTGGGTGATTTGTTGTGCACCTTTTGATGCATTAAAAAAGGCAAAAAAGAGCTTAAGCATACTGCAGCACCACATACACATATGTGGAAGCTCATGACTTTCCTATGCCCCTATTATTACCATGGGACGTTGGCTGAAGGGTCTGTAAAAAGGTTTTCTTCTTTAAGGAGAATGCTTAGAGCCAAGACACCATCAGTTCCAGGCTCAGTCAGTTCCGGTCGAAAGTGTGAATGCTGGGCAAGAGGTTATTTTTGAAAGGAGACTGAAACCCTGCTGGGCCAGATACCTGAACCGTTGTTAGGGTATTTGGTGGAAAATTTCATTTCCACATTATAAATAACTGTAGGATATTTTAAGAGATTCAAGACTAGTGACTTCCAAGAGCTGCTTATATTAGTTCCACTGAAATGTTTAATGGAGGGAGGATGCCCAGGAAAGCTATAAAGCTAAATTACTGGATGTGATTAATTAAAATAAATAATCTCACCATTGATTCAATTGCCCTTAAAATCTCCAAGCTTTGAAAGCCTGCAGAGTTCACTATTCACTAAGCAAAGCAAAGCAAAGACAAGACAGGAATGGAGACAGAGAGGTTCCCAAGATGAGTTATTAGATTCAAAGGAAGGGCCTTAAAATAATCTCTCCTTCCCTCCCTCCCTCCCTCCCTCTCCCTCTCTCTCTCACAGACACACACACACACAGAGACACACACAGACACACACACATGCCCCTCTGAGAGCCCAAGTTTGAAATATGGACTGTTTCTAAACGTCATCAAATTTCTGGGAGTTCCTTGATTCTGTGAACTTCTTGGCGTGGGGCAAGCCATGGAGAAGGTGGGATACCACCCACCAAGGCATTGCTATCTCCTTCTGACCACAGGAAGAATCTATTTCCTAGAGCTCCTCCCCTCCCCTGCAGCCCCTCCTCCCCAGCGATGGAAAGGGGGACCAAAAAAGCCATGCGTGTGAGTTGTGCGTTCTGCGTGTGCGTGGATGAGTGGGTGTGTAAGGTAGGGTAAGGGATAGGCAGCCTCCCCCTCCCCTGCGCGTGCGAGCTGTGGGAGGCTGGCCGTACCCTGGGTTAGAGCTCTCCCCTGTGACCGAAGCCCATCATTAAAAGTCACACCCTCCGGAGCCAGCTCACCACCTCGCCGAGCCCCGCAGGGAGAAGTGGGGGTTAGCGCCCCCATCTTGGCATGCAGGGCTCAGGGGTGGGGGACACCAGGTGGAAGGCAGAGGTTGGGGAGGGGGTGCCAGCAGGTGGAGCGGACTCTGGCTGCTGGCCCCAGGAAGGCCAGCGGATGGGAGGCCTAGGTCTGCGAGTGGGGTGGGTGGGGGGAATCGGCGGGGAAGGCAGGAGGGAAAATGGGAATAGGAAAGTGGGACGCCTGAGCTGTAGACTGGCGTGGAGGAAGAGAAGAATATACATAAAAGCCCAGAGAGGAAGGACAGAGTGAGATCTGCCCACCCCATCCATACTCCACATCCCCTGGGAAGAGATGCCTGGCTTTTCCCCCCGACCTGCCCCGGGGGCGGGGAGCCCCTCTTGGGCGGGCAATCCAGGATTCCCCCCTCCTATCCCCCAAAGCACGGTCCCCTGAAGTGCTTGCAATGGAGTCCAGGGTCCTCCAGGGACCAGAAGGCCCCTGCTTGGTGCTCCTCGCGCCCCACTCCGCTGGGCTGCGCACGAGCCGGAGGGGCGGGTGGCTTCCAGACGCGGGGTGCGACCGAGGATCGATCCCACCGACCCCATCCAGTTGATGGAGATGTGCTGCGCGCGCAGAGGTTTAAGATGGGCACCCGGTGGGGATCTAACCACCTTGCTACCGATTGCACACTTCCTTCACACCCTCGCTTCCCAGCTACCCCGCGAGGCGCGGCACATGGCTGGCTTTTATGGTGTTTGGTAAATGATGTTTTTTGCAGACATGATGTTTTCAGGCTCGGGAAGGGTGAAACGGTTTGTTTCAAGAGGCAAGGGGGTGCCGCCTTTTATTCTGGGGGTGCCACAGCCTGCGGGGCTTTCCCTGCCTCTGTGGGTGTCTCAGGGTGTCTGATGTGTTTTGGAGGCTCGGAGTTTGAGGCTGGGGGGGGGGCGGGCACGTGCTGCTCACTCCCCACAGTGCAAGGGTCGCCTTCGCCAGCGTCTTGTCTCTGTAAACCACAGAAACCTAATCACGAGGAATCCCAGCCTCCAAAAACCACATTTTAGGTTAAAAAAAAAAAAGCCACTTTTCCCCCCTCCGCCTTCCTTCATCCTCTTGACCACAAGGTTTTGGGGGATCCAAAGTCGCTTTTTAAACCCACACTGGGTGATCCGTACACAAATAAGGAGCCATGGAAGCATTTTGCATCTCTTTTTATTTTTCACGTTCTGAGAACAGCGAGGACGAACGCGAAGACGCCGGATCGGGTCGGGGATGCCCGGCCGCGCAGACTAATGAGCGCGCGGAGCACCGGGGCGAAGCCGCCCTCGCCCCCCAGCAGGGCTTTGCCACTCATGTTAATGACCAAGTTGTCAGTTTCCCCAACTCTGAAAGAAAAAAACACAAAACCCCTCATCCTGGTCCTCTAGGAATGACGGAATGGATGCCTAAGAAAGCGCACCCCCGAAAGGGCCCGGCCGTCATCCACTGGGCTTCCTAGAACATCTCTATTTTGACAAGCCCCCATTCCCCAGTTTTTGGTGTCACCTAAGGCAGGAAACACCCGAATCCGGCAGGATCCCCCCCCCCCCCCCCCCGCCTCCAGCGGCAGGGGAGGGGGGGAGGGGTGGGGGAGGGTGAACAGGGCTGAGAAGTCAGCACCAGACACTCGAGAATTTTCCTTCCCTCCTCTCTTGAAATTACAGCGAAAAGGCACGACCGTCAGTCAGCTCGGCCGGCGGCTCTCGGGCGTCTCCGCTCCCGCCCCGTCGGACCCGGAGAGGGTTCCCCGTCCGGGGGGGGGGGGGTCAAAAAGCAAAGAGAAAGGACGCGATCCGCCGGACTGGGGCCGCCTGCCCGGGCTTCGGGAGAGCGGAGGCCGGCGCGGCGCTCGCGGGCTGCTCTTCCCGGCCGGCGGGCGGCGGCAGCGGCTACGATTCGCCGCTCGGGATCCGCTGCCCCGCGACTTACCTCCGGGCACCTGAACCCCGCGAAGCGCGCCGGGGAGGAGGGGCTGCGGCGCGCGGGGCCGCGCGGAGGAGGAGGAGGAGGAGGAGAAGGGAGAGGAAGGAGCGGCGCCGGGAGCCGGACTGGCCGCCGCCGCCGCCGCCCGAGGACTCTGAGCCCGCCGCCGGCGCGCGGAGGCGGGGGAGGGAGCGGCGGCCTCCGCGCAGGAGGCGGCGCGGCCGGCGGAGCGCGCCGCGCGGCGGAGGCCGAGGCCGGGCATCGCGCGCGGGCCGCCGGAGGGCTGCACTGCCCGCCGGGCTGCCCTGCCGAAGCCGCCGGGCTCCACCGCCGCCAGACTGGAACTGGGAGGGGGCGCCCGCGCGCCCGGGACGCCGCGCCCCCCGGGGACCCCGCGGCGGGCCGCGAACTCACGTCCCCCCCCGCCCCGCCGCGCCCCGGGCCGCCGCCGCCGCCACCCGCCTGTTCCGAAGGCTCCGCTGACCCCCGCGCCTCGGGGACCGGTCCCGCCACGCGCCCACCCCAGACGCCCCGGGTCGCCGCCGTCGCCGGGCCCCGCCAGACTCCGCCCGCCCGGCAGTCGGCGGCGCTGAACTTGATTTCTCACCTCGGCGGCCCCGTCACCTCCATCCCCGTCCCCCCGGCTCGCCTCCACCCCCTCCGCTTCCTCCTCCTCGCCCCCCATCTCCACCCGCCCCCTCCCCCGGCCGCCGCGCTAACTTGTGGCTGTTGTGATGCGTATTCCCGTAGATCCGAGCACCAGCCGGCGCTTCAGCCCCCCCTCCAGCAGCCTGCAGCCCGGCAAGATGAGCGACGTGAGCCCGGTGGTGGCCGCGCAGCAGCAGCAGCAGCAGCAGCAACAGCAGCAGCAGCAGCAGCAACAGCAGCAGCAGGAGGCGGCGGCGGCGGCGGCGGCGGCGGCAGCGGCGGCCGCGGTGCCTCGGTTACGGCCGCCGCACGACAACCGCACCATGGTAGAGATCATCGCCGACCACCCGGCCGAGCTCGTCCGCACCGACAGCCCCAACTTCCTGTGCTCCGTGCTGCCCTCGCACTGGCGCTGCAACAAGACCCTGCCCGTGGCCTTCAAGGTAAGAGGCCGCGGCCGCCCCCCCCCCCTCGCCCGCCAGTCGGCCGCTGTGCCCTGTCCCAGCCAGCCCCGGGGCTGCGGCTCCTCCGCGGTGCCCCGGGCTGTGCTGCAAGGGGGCCGTTACCCCCCACCCCCGCGCCAGCCCCTCTCCCACCTGCGCGAAGCCGCAGCCCACGGCCCCCTCCCCGCTCGTCCCTCCTCGGGTTGGGGCTCAGTCCCCCGGCCGGGTCCCCCTCCCCAGGCGCCCCGACGCCACCCGGCACCTCCCCGTCTCCCCCACCCCGCCCCAGGGCCAGGACCCCCGAGCTCCGGCCTGCGCTCCTCGCCCGCCTCCCCGGCGGGGCGCTCGGCCCGCACTGCCCCCCTCTCCGGGATGCTCGGCGAGCCCCGCGCTTCTCTCCCAGTCTGGTGGCCCCCGGGCCGGTTTCCGCGTCCGTCCCCCCCACCCCCTCACCCATCCCGCCCCAGGCCCCCTCCCGAGCTCCGGCGGGTGTTGGAGGGGGGCTGGAGGAGCCCCGGCCGGCGCGGTGAGGGAGTCCGGGCAGCCGGGGATGGCACCGGGCGCTCAGCGCCCGCGCCCAGTCTGTTACCGGGGAAGGCGGGGCCGCGGGGGTCTCCGTCGCCCCGGGGCGGAGCAGATCTGGGGTCTCTGGCACTGGACCCCCAGCGGAGGCGGAGGACCCCGGGAGCGGGCTGTCCGCCTCGCCCCGCCTAGGATAGGTGAGGGGTGAGGGAAAACGTGGGGACCCCGACGGAAAGAGGGGCGCTTTGGCGGACTGGCTTTATTGCGGGGCGCCCCGCGCGGGGAAGGCGGCGGCGGTGGCGGCTCCGGCAGGGCGCCCGCGGGGAGGCGGCGGGAGCCGGGCCTCCGAGCGCCGGCCGTGCGCCCGCCCCACGCAGCCTCTGCGGCCCGCGGGGTCCGTTAGTTTTCGGGCGGTGGCGGCTGTGGGAGGCGCAGGTGGCCGCTGGCAGGTTGGGGGTGCGGGGTCCTCCACTTCTGGCTCTCGTCACGGGGTCCCCCGCTCGGAGGAGACGCGCTGGGGGCCCGGGGAGGAGAGTGAGCGCGCAAGGGGGTGGGGGGAGCCCGCGCCCCTCGAGGCCCCTCGAGGCCCCGACGTGAGGGATGCCCCCGGGAGGATGGGCCCTGTCAGGCGCCCCGGGCAGGCCCTTGAGCTGCAGTAGGTGGGCCGGGGAGGGGGGGGGTGTGTTGGAGAACCCGGTAGGTAGGCAAGGCCTCCAGAGAGGGGGGATTAGAGGAGAGAGGGTCTAGGCTGTCCCTCCATGGGGGATCCCAGGACCTGGCTCCTGCAGGTCCCCGCGATCTCCAGTGTGCTGACCCCCGCCCCTCCTCACCCCACGCGCCAATTCCGAATCGGCTTGTGTGGGTGGGTGGAGTGGAAGGCAAGCGAGCCCAGGTCCATTAGAGCCGGTTGTTTCCCGAGGTCTTATCTCCGGACAGGAATCAGAATGGACTGTTATGGAAAGGGGAGCTTGCATTCTGGGGCAAGTTTCATTTTGCAGTTGGATCCAGTGGTCTTTTTTTTTTTTTTTTTAATTCTCTCTCTTTTCAACTGTCACATTTTGTAGGTTAATGTTTTCCTTGAAATGTTAAAAGATGCGGGTCTATGAGAATTGTAGAAAACTAAATTTCCATCTGAGAACTATCTTTTATAACATTTCATCCATCCATCCATCCCAGGGCCCAGAATTTTCCCATGGGCCTAATGTGAAAGTGGACATTTATTTCCACACCCGTCCTCAAAGCCTCCCCAAACCAACCAAACAAAAAGTCCCCCAAACCCGAACACAAACAGCAAAACCACAAATAAGGAGTTATTTTCACTATACAGGTCCACAATCAAGGCATGTGAAAGCAGGAGGATGAATGCTTAGCTTTTTATAGATGTCACTTAGGCGTGTGGAATTCATGCTGGTTTAGAACGTAACTGTCTTGAACTTCTCTCACGTTTATGATGCTGAATTGGTTTGGAGGACAAGTATTCTGAATAGCATTGATGCTGTTGGTATAGAGATGGAATGCTATTTAGTGTGTTTTGTTTTTTTTTTCTCCCCCCCCCCCCCCATAGTTTGATTACTATCTGGGCTTTCTCACTACCATCCTTAAAGAAAAACTATTTTGAAAGTTTCTTTTTCTTTGCTATTAATCGTACTTTTTAATCAAACAGGTCATAGATAATATAAGGTCATATTAAGTTGGACATTTTAATTGATATTGAATAATGGAGTTAGCCTAAAAGCTGAGTCTCAGTGCTTTCCAGTAGCCATGTCTGTGTTTACTGGAATTCAAAAATTGGGTCAGAGTGGAGATGTATTCAAACTCTTTGTTTCAAAACGAGTATAGACATTTGGACAGTCAGATTTTGACTGCAATTTTTAATATCATTTTTCATGTGCTTAACATAAAACCAACCTTAAAAAAATCTCAGCCTTTGGAATGAAAGTATGAGAGTAGTAGACTTCTTAGAGTCTTGTTCATAATCAGTTACATCTGCAGTGAAGAAATAATATGAAGAAGTCTCCATTTTAAGCATGGTGACAGCAACTTGGCTATCACATTCATAGCTATGTAAAAATATGTTAGGATGCTGTTAGGTAGATAGCAGATAGGTACATGTATTTAAAAACTCAACATGTGAAGAACTTAATTGTTGAAAAGTCTGGCATTCAAATCAATGCAAGATTTATTGAACCCATATTTTATGTCTGTGACACTGCGTTTGGCACTACAGACAATCAGAAATGAATTCAGAAAGACTGTTTGATATGATAATTTAAAATGGTGCTTCAACATTATATAGCCGGTGATACACTGGCTACATTAAGAAGTAAGGATTGACTTGGTATTATTCTTAATCTTGTTTGGGGTTTATATAACAATACTTAATTCATTTATGCCTGATATGTAAAAATACAAAAAAATACCCCAACTGTTGGTATACTTTATCTAAAGTTGTTTTTGTATTTTTAACAAAAGTTCTGTAGTTTTGAAATGGCCAGTTCCCCCCAGGTGTCAAGGAAATGGACATACATATTTTTAACATTTCTTTCAGGTGTATCTCACTGAAAGCTTAAAATAGTCAAGGCATACTATTAGAAGATCCTAGGCCCTTTCTATCCCAGATCATTGGAGTGACAGAGAGGCAGTTTGCAAATTCAGCTCATTAGTTTTGATATCAGGCAGAAAGAGTGGGAAGAGCATGTCAATCCTGAATCCAGTAGCACCCTTTAAGTTAGGGGTCTGTCACCATCTCTGCTAAGACCCCTGGTGCTCAGGGTTAGTAATGAAGTTGCTTTAAATAGCTTCAGGCTGAAACACACAATGAAGAAATTTTAAGTCCAGATGTATATTTTAAACTAAAAGTAGTGCAAGCCTGTGGCACTGTTTTAAGTTGGAGAACACTAGACTATGTATATTTACTAGTATCATATGTTTTTCTGGCAGGGTCAAAGAAGGAAAACTTATTTTACTTATATGATCTAGTATTCATAGTTAATTTTGTATCTTCAGTAATACCTTCCAGTATGACAAAAGAGTTTCGACATGACAGAGCAATTTCTATTTGAAAATAATTTTTTTGGACATCATTAGCCATTTTCTGTCTTCAAAAGCAAGTATGTAATTTATAAATACTTGACACTAGTGTTAAATTTTCCCTAAGTATTTAATGACCAGATTTTAAGTTTGTCTTTTTCTAACCTAATTATTCCTAAAAAAGGGACAATATTAATAAGCCTGTCAGATTCTTAGTAAGCCCAATACAGACTGCTATGCAAAATTACGTAAATCTTAGTAGATTTCAGGCTGTGTGAAGACAGACATATTTTTGTGTTATGCTTCTAAGTGCAATAAAGCTTAAATATTTAGGGTTGAACATATAAAACTTTCTGGTGAAAGTTAGAACAAATCATTTTAGATGGAAAATATTTCTCAAGATTTTTGAAAAATTCCATTTGAGAAAAATCTTATAGATACCTCTTATTACTTTTTCCGCTTCAGAATTACTGTTTGTATCCTTTTAACGTTCCAGAATACTTATTGCTAATTTTTTTCCCAAATAATACCGTGTATTCATTTTCTTCTTTAGAATTTGATTGGCTTTTCCTGAATTCTGGCTTCAACTCTAAAAGTGAACTGCAGTATTTGTTGAAGATTTTTGGTAGTTTACTTAAAGAGAATTAATTTTTTTTCTTGCCTTTTGCAATGACCGGCTCAGCTCTTTATTACAAAGAAAGATTTGATTAGTTTCTATCTTGAAAAAATAATTGCACTTAAATTTTATTGCCATTACAATGTGCCAGTATAATGCTGGCCTATCAGATAAATTGATTAGTGGAGCCAAGGCAGAATTACCCAGAGAAATACTTCAGGCAGATATAATTTCTAATATACTAGACTGAAACAATTTTAAGGGTCAGAGTTATTTATCCATTGCTCCTCTTTCAGAATGATTCCATTTTTAGTCATGCTGGTTCTCAGACAGAAGTTTGGTAGCATTTGCTAGCGTTAAATATCCTTTTCCTTCATTCTGTACAAGTGCCATATGTGATTTAAATGCTAGCTACAGTGAGATGTGCTAAATAAAGGATCTTCGTTCTCAATTCTGGAATGTCAGAACAGAAAATTACTTCTTCTTTGCCTATGATTTTCTTGAATTTGTTGGTTTTATATTTTAAGAACACCGAAAAATGGAACTGTTAAGGTTTCATCACAGATTATTCCTTGTCGAGAGTACTTAGTCTTGGTGGGTAACATGGAAAAAATTTTTAATTTGTATTTATGCCTCACCAGTTACAAGGTAATTTTTGACTGCTCTCTCCTCCTTAGAATGTTTTTCCATTGCTTGGGTTTGGTACAGATGAAATGTGCAAAAGAATTTCTTGATTCTTTTGGTTTTCTTTTAGATAAACACAATTGAGACTTTCCAAGGGAAATTTCTTTAGGTTCAGATATCTACTTTAAAAGATTCTCAAATGTGTAATTATATTTCTGATTGATATAAAATCAAATATAGCACTGCCTCCCCCACCCCCAACATACACTTATGCATTCCTCCCTCAGAAAAACATTGGGAAGTCTGATTTCAGTAGAGCCAATAGCCATTAAGCTAGATTTCAGTCATTAAAGGAAAGGTTGTCACTATATTGTATTAGCATTATTTTTCCAGACCATTTTCTTAACCTCTTAGAAGACTCACACAACTTGTATTGTCTATTATTTTGTTAAATGTGATATGTAAAACATACCAAATATTTAATATGGTCATTTATTATGCTGCTTCAGCAAAACAAAGTGGATTTATGTATTTCACTCCTGGGAATCTTTTCTTTCATATTTTCCCATATTGAATCAATTTTCCTTCTAAAAAAGTCAATTTCTTAAAAATATGCAGTAAAATAATAATGTCTCACAGCTCTTGAGTTTTACATTGAGGTAGATTCCTTTATTTCTTTTCTGAGATTTAGCCTGACTAGAGTGGAACTCAGCAGCAGTCATTCTGTAACTCTCACCAACAATCAAGAACATCTCAGGATGTGAAGTGAAGAATCACATATTCAATTGAGCCCTTAAAAGGTGCTTGAAATCTTGGGTTTTGCAGACTGCAGACTTGGAGCTAAACACTGTGTTATTCTCCTTGTCTTACAGACAAGATAGTATCTTCTATATTTTACACACTTAAAAATACTTCCTATTAAAGATTCACTTTGACCCAGAAGCTACTCTGCAGGTGTTAAAACACAATATATTGAGTGCACAAAATATCTTAACCTTCAGGAAAGTCCTGGCAGACGTAGTTGATGATTTTGCTATTTCAATTGTGCCCATTTCTAGCATAGTGAATTTACAGAGTGCGTCATCTCCCCAGGGAACGCAGCATTAGCTGTATCCATAGCCCCTTGAGGTAGTTGATCAAGTATACTGGGAGGAAGTCTTGTTCTCAAAGGATTTGCTCTTGACCTGGGAGACTTCTCAGAAGATAACTATAGGACTCTAGGCAAAGTGTCATCACAATTATCTGGTCCTCTTGAGGTGGAAAAGCTTATCTGAGAATTAGTCTGGGAGCTGCACATAACAAGTCTCTGAATAGCACATTGCTTTTGGCCGGGGATGCTGACTCAGCCTTAAGCTCTCTCTCTCTCTCTCTCTCTCTCTCTCTCTCTCTCTCTCTCTCTCTCTCTCTGTTTTAACTGGTAGCTGTGGAAGTTTGTTCTTCATGGAGCTTTGGTATTTACTTATGTAACAGTATTTATCAAATGCGGCACTGTTTGAGGTTTGGGGACCTGGCATAAAATGTCAAACAAGACAGATGAGATGAAGGCCCTTTCTTTATGAAGTTTATATCGTTTCTAAACTAATATAATCTGAACTCCTAGGAGTGAGTTTCTCAGCTTTAGGTTGCTTTTCAGTATAGTTAAAAGCAGTTGATAATCATTAGTATTTCTACAGTGAAATAAGGGTCACAAACCAGTGGGATCTGGGTAAGTGGTCGTATGGTTTAAGAAGGGCTTTGTGACCTTGAGTGGAATGACAAGATGCTGAATGGAAGGAATGGAACAGAGAAGCAAGAGGAAATAATAAATAGAAGTCAGAGTGGTATAAATACCGACCACCTTTTGTGTGTTTGGCTTGGTTCCATATGGGGCCTTGGGATAGGGAAGAAGCCAGTCCTACAAGATAGTTTGAGGGATTTTATTATATCATAAGGAGTCTGCTTTAGGGAGGTAGCCACCAAGCATACTGGGGCTGTAGAATGATATGCTTAGGTTTTTTTTTTTTTGTGGAAATCTTGACAAAAGGGAGTATAACTCAAGAAGTAGAGAGAGAGATAAGTGGGAAGTTTGCTAGGTAGATAAGTGTGCAGAAGTGTCTTTGTCAGACAGAGTAATGGGTTACTGTGGCTGAGCCCACTGCCTGCTTGCTGAATGCAGAAGAGAAATAATGGAAGTTAACTAAAAGGAAGCACTGTTGCTGAGGGGTAGGGTAGGCTTTTAGTAGTGGATTAAGAATGAAAAGTTTACTGGTGCCGATGTCTCACACTTGTAATCCTAGCTTCTTGGGAGGCCGAGATCTGAGAATTGCAGTTGGAAGCAAGCCCGGGTGGAAAGTCCCCAAGACTCATCTCCAGTGAACCACCTGAAAACCAGGAGAGCTGTGGTAGAGTGGTGGAGTGCTAGCCTGGAGCCAAAAAGCTCCAAACAGAGCACCCAGGGCCCAAGTTCAAGCCCCATGACCGACAAAAAATTAATGAAATAAAAGGTTTTATATAAGTCCGTAAAGAAGCTACACTGGCAGATCCCCTTACCTGCCTCCACTGTTAATCAGAGACACACATTTACAAATTAGCTCACCCTGGATGAAATGTGACCTCCTAAGCAAAACAAATACTTGTTAGCTTCAAGACAGATGATTTTAGATTTCTACTTGACTAAATTAATCTGCTTCAGATTAATTGTTGAAGATGAAGGATACCAATGTGTCATTCCAAGATGGCAGGTGGAATATGACAGAAGCATGCTTAAGGGATTATCTATCTATCTATCTATCTATCTGTCAATCTATCTATATCCTGTTTGTGCTATTTATTCATCATGATTGTTTTCATTCTGATGTATATATAAATACATTATATATATATATAATTGACATATATATATGTCTATTTTATACCTAAACTTTGGGGTTTTGGTAGCTTTGAATATCCCATTGGCTCCCACAGCAGAGTGGGCATCTAGTAAGTATTCTTAGTGTCATTAAATGCTGAACATTAGCTCAATGGAAGGGAAAGCATGTAGACTCCACTACTCTAAGACCTAGAGCTTCGTGTAGTCAGGGACTCAAAGGTTGCTTCTGAAGTCTTCTCTCATGAAACAAGTCAGATTTTCCACTCCTTAGCTTGGGATCAAGATAAGACCACACCTCAGGGCTCTTCAGGCTGTAGACAGGAGCAGATGCCTTCCTACAAGTGATGCAATCTGCAGATGGGATATCAGCCTTCTCTCTGAGGCCTAGTATCTGTGAACAGGCTAACATGGGAATTTAATAAAAATGTACATACATTCTGTGAAGAGTCCAAGAACAAATAAAGGAAATTCTGCCTGCCTTTGAGATGGGTGGACCCTGAGCATTGGTATGTTTGAAGTGGCATCACACCTCAAACACAGATGCTTCATTTCTGTTGGCTATTACTGGACCAGAGCCCTGAGTCCTGATAAGATAGGTCATTTACAATGAAAACAGATTCTCAATTTTTAAGCTTTTCTGAGGTGCCATTATTGCTGCTGTGTTTCCTGTTTTATGTAGGTGGTAGCCCTCGGAGAGGTACCAGATGGAACTGTGGTTACTGTCATGGCGGGTAACGATGAAAATTATTCTGCTGAGCTCCGAAATGCCTCTGCTGTTATGAAAAACCAAGTAGCAAGGTTCAACGACCTGAGATTTGTGGGCCGGAGCGGACGAGGTAAGTCTCTGCTTTTTTTTTTTTTTAAAAAAAAATCTGATAATGGACTGAACACCTTCGGACCCCCTGGTGAAATGTGGGCTAGTCTGTGTACAGATCAGCACCTTTTTTTTCTGACTTGGTTACTAGGAGGTTTTACTTAAATACATCCAGACATGATGGAGTATTTTCCCTGAGTGCATGGTCGTTTTTCATTTGTTTTGTGATATGAAAATTCATTGTTTTTAGAAAAGCCAACTCCTCATTGCACTGGTTGAAAGCCTATAAGGGAGAGGGGTCAGGATAGGAATTAAAGGGAGTCACATTATTGAGCAACTTGAGTGGTAAAAGGGAAAGCAAAATGGATATAATGTGTGGACATCTTGGTAATATTAATTTTGGTCTTAAGTTGAAACAAGGGCAGGTAGCATAAGGCCCTTTGCTTATTATCCCATTTGTATTATTTTGTTTATATTCGTACAATAAGAATCTATTAAAATCCTGTTCTTTTTCCCCACAGAAGCCTTTTCATTTGAGTAAGTGACTAATGGATTAGTCACTTAGTGACTATGTAAAATTGCCTAGCTAAATGAACGATCAGGACTCCAATGGTTCTATACTATTTAAATATTTCTACCAATCTTAATGTATATACAATGATTAAGGATCCATAAAAGAACCATAAAACAGGAAACAATCCCTTTGGGGTTTTTCTCAATTGTTTTGTAAATGGGGTAGCTCTTAAAAGAGAAGTCTCTAAGGAGGCTAATATTTTGCTTTTATTTACTTTTTCTGCAGAGAGACTTTTACTGGTCATTCACCTATTAGAAGTATTATGTTCAGTTTTATTGAATCCAATATTTCCATTTTAAGTATTTCAATAAGAAGAGGTGGGGAATTATAAAGTATATGGATTCACTGCTAGCAAATGAGGAGCACCAGTTTTTTAAACCAGGTCTAATAATTGCTCTCTAGTCTGGATCAGATGTCAAATTATTACCATTATAAAAACTTGATAAGGGAAATTCAAACAAGGCTGTTTCCGATGAGTAGAGTTAGTTTACTTTCTAGGAACAGGGCCAAGAAGCTGTACTTTTTAACTTAAGAAAAAATGATGCATGCTAATGAGATACTGCCACTGAAAGGTTGTTTGAAATAAAATGAGGCTCAGAGCCTCTGGTAGAACGAAGAGTAAGAGGTTTATCTCTGCGCTAAGCTAAATTTTCTTTTCTTAGAAGAAAAAGAACTTTCTATATTACTATTATCTGATTGGTAGTGATGGAAGTGGTGTGTGTGTGTGTGTGTGTATGTGTAATTATCATTACTTTCTCAACTACTGATGCAGATTGACAGTACAATGAAAGTTTCTCTTTCTTTCCTAGTAAAACTATGAATGTGATAATTTACCTGTATGTACAAAGTTGTACCTTTTCTGATAGCATTTCCTTATTTTCAGCTAGGGAATTGAATTTCAGTATTTAAAGGATGGGTGTAATACTTAAATTTGCTTTATGGATTCAAGCTAGTATTTTCATTTATTGGGCTTTTGTATTATATAGATGACACATAACTTTTTTTCTGATCAATTGGAGTAGAAACTACGGCAAAGTGATAGTGTACTTTGTAAACCTTCAACATATTTATTTAAGAAACTTCAAAGAGAAACAAAGGGTGTGCACTGTTTTACTATATTGGCTTTCTGAGTTTTGGCTGGTTTCCCAAATAGCAATTTTTATATTTAAAAAAAAAGACAGACTTAACTGCTTGCAGACTTTTCACGCATGGAAGATGAAGAAAGCTTCTTTTGATGAAGTGTAATTATGTCCAAACAGAGCTGACCCCCTCCCCCTATATTTCTTATGATCTTAACTGAAGAAAGTAGGATTTTTCCTTTGAAGCAGCGGGGACTTGGTGGAGGATCTGAAATGCTACAGTCTGCTGCCAGAGGCAGGATGGAGAAATTGGTCCAGACTTGTCTCTAGACTTAGATGGGGGGAGTAAGAGGACTGAGAGGAAAGAAAGAAAAAAATTGATTTATCACTAATCATAGTTTTTTTTTAATACCACTACATTAACATTGTAGGGAAGGAAACAGTAAGATCAAGCTGAACTGGAGAGGGCGAAGAAGAAAAAAAATGAGGACAGAGAACATTGACACGACAGCACTCTGCAAAGAATGAGTCAGTTTTTCAGTGGCAGGAAACCCTCTAACCTGTCTTGGTACCTTTTGAACCTGACCTGCTTTTATAACAGCCTCTTTGCAGCTTCCTCTCTGATTTTTCATGCTTCCTCATTTCTCTTAAGTAATTAAGTCTTATCAACACCATGTTACCATTGTACTTTCTTTCCCAGTCTTACAAAATTTCTAGGATTAAAAAAGGCATTAGCATAGTATTAAACCTCTTAGGACATTCCACAAGTGTTACATTCCCCTCCATCTTTCACTTACAGAAATCTAAACTCTTGGATATTGAAAAGTGATCTTAGATTTATAAAGAAGTCATGACACTACTTACTTTGGCGTTTTGGATTGTTTGATCACCATCATTTTTTAAAAAATGGTTGGGATAAAAGTAGGTCATCAGTGAAACTTGCATTAACAGTGGCTTATTTTTTTAAATAATTTTTTTCTTTGTGTTTTAAACAAACGTTAAACAAAGCGATTTTAGCTTTTAAAATGTTTCTGGTATACTTTCTCCCTTTTGACATCAGGCATGCTGCTTTTAATTTACAAGCATTTTTAAAGCATCTCCAGTGCACAGAGCATAGCGTTTTGTCAATTTAGGATACAATTCTGCTTACTGTCTTACTCCTCCTCCTTAGTCTTCAGGCTAAAGTTGGTGTTGTCCATCAATGACAGTTGCCTGTCTTTATCTTAGAAACCAAATGACTGGAGGACATATTGCAGAACTAGTTCCTAGATGAAGCTGTGGATGATAAAATTAGTTATCCCTAAGTAAAAGCCTGCCTTTGTGTTACTTTTAGAAAGTGGGATTTGGAAAAACTTATTATTATTTTTAATCTAAGGAAATCGTGAATGCCCACATAAACGTTTGACTCAGGAAATGTATTATTATAAGATGGAGAACCAATTACCAAGTTGGGTCATAGTTTTCTAAAAGCTTCTTCAGCATTGCATATGTGTTTCTTCTGAAGGAATAATCAGAGTTTGAAGGGACCTCTTCTGTTTTCTGTTTTATTTGTTGAAGTACATCTTGACCCTTAAGGAGTTTATTTTGGAAGGCCACAGTTATACTTAAATACTTGTTTCCTCCCCTTCACCCACCTCTTTTTAAAGGATGTTTTTAATGGAAAACTAGTTCTGCTCTGAACATTGAGTTGCTTTATACTTGAAGGGTGAATGAATTTCATGTTTGGCTTTTGTTCCCACATGAAGTGTTCTTCTAAATTTGGGAGAAGAGTTGGCAATTTATAGACATTAAAGATAATTGGGAAATATGTCATTGTCTATTAAGATTAGTGCCATGAATGAAAATTGTCTGCTGATCACAGCCATTAGAGCCACTGTTAGAAATGCAGTCCTTGGCCTATGGACTACTGGTCTCATCCAGGATACCTTGCTTATTTATTTTCTTATTTATTTTTTGTTTTGTTTTTGCTAGTCCTGGGGCTTGAACTCAGGGCCTGAGCATTGTCCCTAATGCTTCTTTTTGCTCAAGACTAACACTCTACCACTTGGACCACAGCACTACTTCGGCTTTTTCTGTTTATATGTCGCTGAGGAATTGAACCCAGGGCTTCCTGCATGTGAGGCATGCAGTCAACCACTGAGCCACCTTCCCAGCCCATTATTTGTTCATTTTTATGCTGGTGCTGGGTCTTGAACTCAGGGCCTAGGTGTTGTCCCTTAACTTTTTTGCTCAAGGCTGGCTATGTATCATTTGAGCCCAGCTTCCAGCTTTTTGGGGGCTAGTTGGAGATAGTATTTTCATAATCCTTCCTTTCTTAGGCTGTTTTTGAATGTTGATTTTTGGATTTTGGCCTCTTGAGTAGCTGGGATTACTGGCATAAGTCTCAGAATGGCATTTTAAAATGCTTTCATATGTGGAGACTAAACCATTTCTGTCCTCTACAGCCATAATTTTGGGGTTCTTACTGAACATACTGGCTTCCCATTCAAATTTCTGGTCTTCATTTCTATAGATTGTCAGGTTTCTGGGACTAGATTAGTTCCCTGGCTATCTTAATTTTCAGGTTCATCTTAATGATTAAAACAAATCATCAGTTCCCAAATAAATGAGTTAAATCCTTGTAAAATCTAGTCTGTATAGTAGATGGAGTATGATTATGTCATTGACAAATACATCATCCTGGCTAAGATATTATATTAGTCCATGTATTTATTGTTTCATGGACACAGAGAACTAATTGAGACCTAGCTCACAAGTAGATAACCTATTAATTTTTTTCCATATCTTCTGGCAGTGTGGAAGAAAAAAAATGAGCATTTGCTGCTGCTGCTGCTGTTATTATTATTATTATTAGTAGTAGTATTTCAATGCCAGGGATTGAACCCCAGGTTCTTATCATGCTAGGTAAGTGATCTCCCTCTGAGCAATATCCTCCAGCTGGAGAATAGATTTGCATTTCCCCATTTATTAATTTGTATGGATTTGGGCAAATTACTAAGCCTCTCTGAGTTTTGGGTTATTCCTTTATGAAATGAGGATGATAAGTCTACCTGGGGAGGATTAAATAGGATAATATGTATGAAGTGGCTGGAGACTAGTGGGGTTATAATTAGTATTTATCTTTTTCAGTTCTACCCAGCCTCACATTGCTGTCTTTTCTCATTACCCCTTCACTTTTGCCTGTAGAAACTTACAGTCAAGAGGATAGGAAACTATAGACTATGTAGACACAGTAACAAATGATGTGTGTCTCTGACAGATTTTAGGAACTTACATGGTCTGGGGTTGAAAAGAAAACCCATTCACTAGACCTGACAGTCCAAGACCTGTTCCACATTAAACCTTGTACTTAACCTGTTCCATGTTAAGCTATGAAAATATTGCATTAAACTTTGCGTTGTGACATATTGTCTAGGATTTGTGTTTTGATTGAATACTCTCAGCTTTCAGTAAAAGGAAAGGGGAGGGGGAATCTGACCCCTAAACAAAGCAGAGCAAAATGAGCTTTTTTATCTGTTGCAGGAGCAGACTAAATGAGTACGTTGGCCCCCAGAGTGCTGAATGTTTGATTGAGTCACTGTTTCACGCCCACCTTTTCCTGTCTTGTAACAGTTTGCAGTTTTGACTATCTGACATGACTAACCGTTGCAAATCTTAACTGATTACAACTGTCAGTGAGTCTGTGTGTAACAGAGTCTGGTATCTTCTGGAGAAAGCAGACGTCCAAATCTGCTACCAAACTTTTCCCAGCCGCACCCCACTACCATTATTTCATCACTTTTAGCTCAGTTAATTTGAAGTATCGAGCTGAAACTTCTGCTAAAAATAAAAATTCATGTTTATGTTGAGTGGTGAGCCAGTGTCAGGGAGTTACTTCAGGATTTCACAGCAGAGATAGATGTTAGGGGAGGGGTGAGCAAGGAGGATAAACCTTCATTCTAGTAATGATGAAATCATACCACAGGTACACGAAGGCCAGGCCAGGAGACAGTGGGACCTGTTAAAATGATTCTCATAAGAACCTCCCGCTTTTATCTTCTTGTTGTGTTTCACGTCAGTGAATAAAATGCTGGAATAATACAAAATAAACAGCATAAGCAACAATGGCTTTCTATTGTTCCCCCATGGGGTCATGACCTAAATCCTAAATGAAGACTTCTAAAATGGTCTGTGCTTGGATGTATTCCTGATGTTGGCGAAAAGTGGAAGGAAGGGAACCTTCCTCAAATGGATCAGGGTGTTTTATTTTCACTCCAGCCATTGCTCCAGAGTTTTGGTTCCATGGATTGTGCTTCACTGAAGACAAGGGTGGGCGTTGGTTTAGGAACGTCCTAGAGTGGCTCTCAGGGGGTTTCCAGTGCAGAGTAAGGACTCCCGTGTCTTCTCTTTGTTTCATTGGCTCCTCGGAGCTGCTTAAATGAGATCTGGACTCTCCTGTGTTGCTGTGTAATCATGACTCTTATCCTTTTATGTTCACTTTCCATCTTCCTCTTTTACATCTGCAGGCAAGAGCTTCACCTTGACCATAACAGTCTTCACGAATCCTCCCCAAGTAGCTACCTATCACAGAGCTATTAAAGTTACAGTGGACGGACCCCGGGAACCCAGAAGTAAGTACTTACGTCTTTATTGAAACTGGCAATAGAGTTTGTGGGGGAACCCTGGGAAGAGTTCCTTCTAGAAAGGTTAATGATACCGTCTTTGCAAAGTTTGTGATCTGCATATATACTTAGTGAGGGACAATTAGTAGAACTTCACAGTTAGTAGAAAATAAAATTACAGTTTTAGGCTTCACCACAAAATTGCTCAGGCCTTTATAACTTTGGGAAATGAGTTGATAATTGTTTAGTCACTGTAACGATTGGCTAAGAAATTCTGCTCATCTTTTCGAGATACACACACACACACACAATGGACCAAACAGACTCAGGAGAGCTGAGGATAGCAAACACTAAACCTAAATATCTTGAGCTTAGACGAAGAAGGATTTGCGTTTGTTTCCCATGGCCTGAGAATGTGTGTTCCCTTTTTAGCCCGCCCACTCAATTCCCTTTATAAAGAGCACACTGCTTAATTACAAAGAATTTATTTGCAAATGATAACTTGCTTGATTGTTACAACACTGTTGTTTGGTCATGTTCTGGTAATTGTTATAGATAGTTTCTTTTAACAGAGTCAAACCAGGCTTAACTCTACTTTGCTTTACTTGTCTGTCTGGCCATCTAGAAGAGGGATAATCCTTAGCCCTTAGTCACCCAAATGATTCAGGCAACTCATCACAGCAGCATTGACATGTATGTAGAGATTAAAGATGAGCTGATACATTGGCCATTCACAATCGGGCACTATTGGAGATATCACATAGAACTCTACCTTGGCCAAGTGAATACGTGAGAGGGGTGGGTAGGCACTGCTTTTAAGGAGTTGAATTTGGTTTGTGGGGGAGGAATAGCTAGCGGAAGGATTTGTTCCACAACAGTACACCTGCCTAGACTGGAAGAGTGGGCACCTATTTTCTTTCCCTACAAAGAGAAAAAAAAAGTCTGGTAAGGCTTTCCCCACGTAGGTGTCTTTTAGCAGTGGGAAGGCACAGTGGCTCCGTCCTTTTTTCTCCTTTCTTCGCAAAGCCTGACTGTTGCCTAAATGAGGGTGGTCTCCTACCTCCAGTGCAAGGCCTTGATGTTGTTTTGTTTTCATGTGTGGCCTTCTTCCAAGTCCCCCTCCACACCTTCCCCTCCCCCCCCAATGTGGAGTCAGTGCTGGGAAGGTCTATCTGGGAAGGTCGGGCCAGATAATTGGTTCATGGGCAGGAGCCACAGGTCTTCAGGGGTTATACAGTGCAGAGCAAGGATGCCTGGCCTGGTTTGGGGCTTGTTTGGACTTCAGTGGATGGCCATAAGTGAAGGATGGAAGATAGACACCTTATGATGGAAGTCATCTTCTAACGTCTTACATGACTAGTCCTTGAGTTCCTGACCAGGTAGGGGCTTCTATTCTCATAACGTAGTCTTTTAAAGTTTATTTAGCACCACTAACATTTGTCTTTTAAAAATGTTTCTTCCTGATCATCTGCTGCTTTCTTTAGTACTTACAAAAGCTATTCCTCCCTCTCCACCTCCCCCCCTTCCCCCCCCCCCCCCCCCCGCCTTCTTGGGTGTATACACTTGAGTTAACCCTTCCAGTTGATGGCTGAGAGAGAAGCAGAAGAGGGTAGGTACTCCTCATCCTGAAAGATATGACTAAAGGTAAGGAAGAGGCAGAATAACTTTGAAAAAAGGCTCTTCTGAGTCAATATGAATAGCATTACTTCATTTCAAAGCAATTTGGCCACAGCAATTAAGCTGATGGACTTACCATCCTGTAAAAGCAGAGAAACTCTCTGAAAGCAGTGAGGATTTGGGGTTAGGGGAGCAGATGCTACCGTGTGATCTCAGATTGGGTTTTGGGTCATGTTGAGTATGCTAAGTGTGAGTGGCCTGTGATCTCCAGTGTCAGAACACCTGAACTAGTTCCATGTGGGCAACATGCCTTATAAACGGAAAATATCTGTAAAAATGGGGTGTTGTTTTCCTGACATCATGGTGGTGACTTGCCTGGCTAGAGGGATGGGTCTGACAGCAGTAACACTGTGATTCTGCCACCTGACGAAGGGGCTCTTTCCTCTGCCTTGAACTTGGCCATCTCTCACAAGGACTCAACTTGGTCATGAGGACTCTACTTGTCCATTCTAGTGCAAAAGCAGCCGAGGCCAATAAACAGACAAATAGTCATAGCTGTGTTCTAATAAAACTTTCTTTTCAAAAACAGATATGGTAGGCCAGATATGGTGGCCCAGAAATCATGCTTTGATGCCCCTTGCTCTAGATTTTAAAGTGGCTTATTTTTTTATCAACTTTTAATAGAAAAGGCCTTTAGGAAAAGGCTCTCTTAGAGGAAGAATCCCCTTCTCCCAATTAATGCAATTATTTTAGATTCCCCTTCTTAAATAGTGGTTATTTGTCATAAAACTATATGCTTCTAGTGTTACTATAATGGTTTGAAGGAGTTGGAGATTTTGTACTGTTGTTTCCTGTTTACATGTAGAGTTTTTCTAAAGATTTGAATATAGGGCTGGGAAGGTGGCTCAGTGGTAGAGCGCTTGCCTTGCATGCATGAGGCCCTGGGTTCAATTCACCAGCACCACATAAGCAAAAAGGAAAAAAGCTGGAAGTGGCGCTGTGGCTCAAGTGGTAGAGCGCTAGCCTTGAGCTGAAGAGCTGAGGGACAGCGCCTAGGCCCAGAGTTCAGGCCCACTACCGGACCGGGAAAAAAAAAAAAAAGATTTGAAAAGGCTGATCTGGTAGCTCAGCTGTTTAAATAAAGACTAAATAAAGACTAACTATAGATGAAATGTTCGTGTCTTTATATCAAGACTGCTTGGAGTGAAATCCCAGCCTCACCATTTAGTAGCTATATGGAGAGAGACAATTTCCCTAGCTTCTTTTTGCCTTAGTATTCTCATCTTTCCAAAATGAGAATCATGAAAAAAGTATCTTCTTCAAGGATAGTAACTTGAGGTCATGTATGTAAAATGAGCAGTTAAGTACCATGTAGTAATTCCATATTAAACATAAGAATTGGTGTCTTTCAGCATCCAAAGTCTGTTGTAATGTTTGACTTCTAGTATGCGTCGAGGAATCCAATACCATCTAGATTCTGTTGTTTTTTTTTAATTTAATTTAATTTAATTTGTGAACATACTGTACAGAGGGGTTACAATTACATGGGCAGGATAATGCGTATATTTCTTATCAAGCATTGCAGCCTCCTCCTTTGTTTACCCTTCACATCCCTTCCCTACCTCCCCCCTACCCCCCCCACTCCTCCCCCCCTTCCCCCCCCCCCCCCCCCCCCCCGCACCAAGTAAAGCTCGTTTTCCACATGACCTTGTACTTCTCATTGTTGCAACAGGTCCACCTGTATCCTTAAACGACTTGTTTTTCCCCATCTCCTCCACAAGTTATACTGACATCAAATATAGTGAAAGCAGGGGTTATACTGTGGGGGTAGATTCTGTTCTTTAGTGTACTATTATTTTCTTTCTAGTGTATTCCAGATGGCTTTGCTAATTTTTGCTCAGTAGCAATCAACACTAATCAATGGTTTGAATCAGGCCGTGAGCAGATAGTGATGCAGAACCAGTGATGAATACTACTTGTATGTAATAAAGTCCAAGACGGTGCAACAGCACTTAATGCCCCCTTCAGAGGCCCTGCTTATCAGCATGTCTGCCAAGACTTGCTTTCCACTCAGAAATCCGAAAGGTTTCACCCTCTGTGTTCTCTGTCTCTGGCTGAGCTTGTGCCTGTCACATCCCAAACAACTTCTTTTCTTAATATACACATCTGGCGTTGGCAGTTGGACTAACTTCATAAGAGCACATGATCATCACTCATTACAAGATTAAAAAGTACCCCATGGCATCATTGATGTTTTTTTTCACTTTGATCTTTTGCAGTTGTGATTCATCTCAGTTATAAAACTTCCCTTTAAAGGAACATCGCCGATGACTTATTAGAACCTTCGTGTTAAGTAGCGTAAACATGAAAATGGTGCACATCTTTGCAAAAATGCCATGGTATTTCCTTCGCTAGCTTATCATTTTAAGACATGACATCATGCTTAAGATCCCAAATTTGTCAGTCTTGTGTTTAGGCAAAAGCATTTTGACCTTCTGTTGGGAGGTTAGCTCTGCAGATCAACCATGGTATGTTCGCCAGCAGGAGAGGTAGTAGAGCAGCAGGAGTAATGTGTTTGGATATTTAACTCTTTTACGCATCAGTTCCTATTAGAATCTTCTACTCCCCTTGGTTCCAATTCCAGTCTGACTTAAAGAAGTTCTACAGGAAGTTGAAAACTCGGTGAGCGATGTCATATTCTACAGTAATGGTTCTGAGTTGGAGAAAAGGACTGCCAAGTGCACAGAGAATGGAAAAAGTAAATCACTACACACGGCCGGGATCCTTTTAATAAACATACTGTGCTTTCAGTTTTCCACTGCTAAACAACCAGCTACCCAAACCATACCAGCTTAAGACAACAAGCAGTTCTTTGTTTTGCATTGTTTGTGGGTTGATGAGGGTTGATCAGGATGCTTTCTCTGATGGGATGCTGGAGTTTATCACATGGCGGTGGTCAGATAGTAGCTAGGGCCGGAACATCCAGGATGCCTCTATTCATATATAGCTTGTGTCATGGTGGCTGAAAGTTAGGACCAATGGGATGATGGGACATTGCTCCCTACCCCAGGTAGTCCTTGAACTGCTTTCTCTTCTTTATGGTCTCTCCAGAGCTCTGATAGACTTTGGAACTTCTTACAGGACAGCCCAGGGAACTGTTAGGTCTCCTTAAGGCTTAGGCTCAGAGCTGACATGGAGTTGCTTCCTCTGTACTCAGCTGGTTAAACCAAGAGATTGGTAAAGCCCAGATTCAACCGGAAGAAGCAGCACATGAAGGAGTGAGTGGCCGGGGAGTAGTCTAATGGACTACTGGAGGCCATCAGCTCTCACAAGTGCTTGCAATAGGAGAAAGAATTCTTTTCAAGGTCCCATCTTTTGAACACCTTCATGAT